CTCTCTCTCTCTTTCTCTCTCTCTCTCGCACTTTTTCTATCACCCCTGACCCTGCAAAAATGCAAATCACCCCGGGATTCTTGACAAGAAAATTGGATCCCGATTTCGGCGCGCGCTACGCGCCCAATTTCCGCCACCCCAAAATGTGGCGGCCACCAAAAAAAGGCCGAGATTCCGCAGCATTCCAAAATACGGGTCAGATCGGGCGCTGGAAGGTGTCGGAATGGGACAGAAATAGCTTAAAATTGTCGAAATGGTATCTGCTAGATTGCCTTGGTTTCCTAAATTATCTCTGCTAGTTTGCCATGCATTCCGCAAGAAAATTTGCTAGTTTGCTTGTGTTTTTCGGCCATTCCTGAAAGATCCCTGCTAGCCTGCCCAAATTCCCAAATTGCCATCTGCTAATCTCTCAGAATTTCAAATTTCCAAAATTTTCTCTGTTATCTGACCGAATTTCCTGAAAGATCGTTGCTAGTTCGCCTTCGCTTCTTAAAGGACTTCTGCCAGTTTCCCCAAATTTCCGCAAAAATCCCTGCTAGTTTGCCCAAATTTCCCTATGATCTCTGCTAGTTGGCCTCAAATTTCTTCAATAATCCCTGCTAGTTTGCCCAAATTTCCCCAAGGCTCTCTGCCAGGCTATCCGATCTTTCACCGCTCAATCGCTAATCCCTGCAAACTTGGACCCAGGTCCAAAAATGGGCGTGGCTTCACCGGGTAGCTATTTTGAGGCTGGTCCCGCTGGAGCTGCAGAATCCTACCGTAACCCCCTCCTGGGGCACGTTTTATTTTGCCGATAGAGGCGGGCAGAGGGCTTCCCAGAATAAAATCGAGAACGAACAGCCGGGGTATAAAGCCACGCTTCGAAGGGGGCACCGTTTAAAATAAACGATTTGGGCGCATTAATAGACCCGATTTTCCTCAAGAATCTCTGCTATTTTGCCTTTTCGTAAAGAATCTCTGCTAGCCTGCCTTTTTCCGAAAAATCTGTTTTCTAAGTCGAAATTTTTCTGTTGGTTAATTTATTAGTTATTTTAAATGCTGAATAAGGCAATTTAAACCATTTTAATACAATTTTACCCTTTTTGGAAGTCAAAAACTAGTCAAAAACCTTTGAAACATTGAAAAATATTAAAAAATGTCGAAAATGTCGAAATTTTTAGAAGTATTCTGATCTATCTTTTCTTGGGTTACACTGTTAAACAATACCCCCCCCCGGTTAATGCACCAGATCCCCATTTACTAAATGATCTCTGCTAGTCTGCCCATTTCCTTAATGATCTCTGCTAGCCTCCCCCTTTCCTAAATGATCTCTGCTAGCCACACAATTGCTCATAAATCATCCGCATTCCACCCCATTCCTAATTTCACTTCCTCCCCCCTTTAAACGCTTGATTATTTGTGCGCGCGCTGTCTGTCTATAGGTGCATAAGGGAAAAATGCGGAAAACAATGCGGGTGGAACGTCCTCGAGGCGGACTTTTTGCCCGGCTGCCTGTAACTAACGGCGGAAGAAGGGGGCGCGAAATGCCCCTCGGCTATTTCTCTCTTTCTCTCTCTCTCTCTCTCTCTCTCTCTCTCTCTCTCTCTCTCGCTCCCTCTCTATCGCCCAAAAAAGAGGGAAGATTAAGACGCTCTCGAATGGAGTGAAAATTCCAATCCCACCTCCCCGGCCTAAAGCAGCGAAATCACAATTTCTGATTACTTCTTTCGTGGCCACTATTCTTCCTACGAAGCGGTCATTTTTCGCTACCGTAACCCGCGGATTGTTGCGTAATTTGGAGTGCTACGGACAAAGCTTTTAAAATTCTCATTTACCCGGCGACGCAACAGAGATTCTTTGGGAATTTGACTTACTTCTTCGGATTTTTTGTCTTGAATGTCCCTTTAACCCCTACAGTATCCCGGCGTAATTACGTAGCCTCTCGTAGTCGCGACTCGGCTAGCTAGCAGAGATTCTTTGGGAATTTGGCATACTTGTGCGGATTTTCCCTGCGTAATTACGGTGCTTCTCGTAGTCGCAACTTGGCCAATTAGCAGAGATTCTGAGGAATTAGGCATATTTTTGGATTTTCTATACACCCTACAGTAAGCCTGCGTAACTACGAAGCTTTTCGTAGTCGAGTGTGGCTAACAGCAGAGTTTATTTAAGAAATCGGTTCCGGTATTCAGGTCTTCCTTCCCTTCATCTGCCCCTTAAACCCTACCATAACTCTGCGTCACTACAGAGCTTCTCGTAGTCGCAACTTGGCCAGTTAGCAGAGAATTTCAGGAATTTGGCATACTTTCGGATTGTCTATACTATAGACTCTATACCGTAAATTGTCCCTTGATCCCTACAGTAACCCTGCGTAATTACGGATCCGCTCGTAGTCGTTCGTAGCCGACCGGCAGAGATTCTTTAGGAATTCGCCATACTTATCCGGATTTTACATACCTTAAACGGTCCTTTAAATACTACAGTAACCCTGGGTAGCTACGGAGCGTTTCGTAGTCGAGTGTAGTGAACTTTTCAATTTTCAACAGTTTCAATTTTTACAAAACTGTATTTATTACTGTATTTTTGCAGTTTTTGCGTCTTGTATCGTACCCATTTTTCAGGATGGGCCGCGAGTGGCGATCAGGATGGCTGCTAGCCGTATTGTTGGCATTGGTCGGAGCACAACAACAGGCTGAAGACGTTCAAGATGTCGTCATTATTGGAGCTGGACTGGCTGGGTTGTCGGCAGCGAATAGGATTCTTGATGTAAGTGTTTTATTTGTGAATAAAATAATTAATCCTCTTTTTTCAGCAAGCCCCCTCCACAAAGCTGCTTGTGCTCGAAGCGAAAGAAGCGAGTGGCGGTCGTCTCCTCTCCCATCAGATGAAGACCGCCCAGGGCCAGCAGACCGTCGACATCGGTGAGTTCAGCTTGCAAATGGTCTCTGCTAGCTGCCTTTTTGGATTTCAAGAAAATCGGGATTTTCCTCGATGATCTCTGCTAGCCTGCGCTCGCTAATTTCCCCTTTTTCAGGCTCGCAGTGGATCGGCCCAAAGCACACTGCCCTCCTCGAGTTGGTCCAGAAATTCGGGTTGACCGCTGAAGTTCAGGTATTTTGATTTTTTGCTTTTTTCCATGTGGATTTTGCATTTTTAGCCAATCTGCGGCGAGCGCATCATCCTCAGCAAGAACACCGCGGGTACCAACTTTTTGAGCAGGAGGAGGAAGAGGTGAAAATTCAATTAGGGCCCTTGATAAAAATTTTCAGATCGTACCAGTGGTCATCTCTCGGCACGAGCCCCTCAATCTCTGATGTCTTCTCCTCGTCTGACCTTGCCGAATTTGGTGGAGAATCCGCCGCCGGTTTCATCAAGAGCGGAAATCTCGATTCTGTCGATGGAGATGGCATTCGACGACTTCTGCAGGTTCGGCTTTTCCTCTGTTCCTATTTCCTAAGGAATCGCTGCTTGATTGCCTAAGCAAGCTAGCAGCGATTTTTGGAGAATCGGATTTCGTCCGAAATTTTCGTATATTGAATTGTTCAGGTCTTTTACGATGCCCCCGACACCACCGTATCCGCCCTCCAGCTCCTCCTGACGGCCAGCAGCGAGAATTGTGCGTGTTTTTTTTTTGCTTAAACCTGCTTTCCAACGATTTCAAGCCGTTCAACCCGATTTCTATTTTTATCCGATTTTTTATGTAAAAAGGAAAATCGTAGTCCTGATCGGCTTGAAGTCGTTGGGCGGCCTGAGCAAAGTTTTTGAAGGGTTTTATTGTCTATTTTCAGCAACGATCGACGATGTGCTCTCGGAAATGGGCCACGGTACTGGGCTTCGAGTCAAAGAGGGATTGGGACAGTTGGTTAGGTACGTCTTGATTTTTTTTGCAGGGATCAAGAACAAGCAGAGATCATTTGGGAAATAGGAATCTAGCCGAGGCGCTTGCGGAAAATCTTATTTCTAATTTTGGCAAGGTAGCAGAGGTCATTTCGGATAGCTTTTCTATTTTAATTAATTTTTCTGGGTTTAAAAACGCTCTTTTTTTAGCAATCTGGCTACCCGCGACGGCTTGACGATCACCTACAGCTCGCCAGTAACCGCGATTTCACAAGGTATTTTTTTAATAAATTTTACCGGAATTTCTTCTTCTGTTTTTTATCTAATTTCTAATAGTATTCTGTATCAAATTAAATGGGCTTTTTTAGAAGACGACGGCACGCAAACGATCACGGCTGGAGGCAAGAAATATTCGGCAAAACAGGTCGGTTTTTCTGGATTCTTTTGCTCAAAATTGGGCTTTTTTGCTTCGATTTCTTTTCAAGCTTTGTTTTTATTTCTAAGGTTTTATTGTAGATTTTTTAGTTTAAAAATTTTACAGTTTAAAAGTTAATTTTTTATCTAAACTTTACTTTTTTTATGTTTTTAGGTGATCATCGCCGTGCCGCCAGCCATCGCCGCCGGAATCGACGTCAGCCCGGCGTTGCCCCAGAATTTGGCCGCTTTTCTTGGTGAGTGGGGGGCTAGCAGAGGTTCTTTAGGAAGGGGCAGGCTGGCAGAGGTTTTTTGAGACCCAAAATTGTGTTTTAATATCGCTTTTCAGGTTCCTACAAGCCCCGCGGATTCGCCACCTACTTTACCCTGACCTACGCGGCCCCATTCTGGCGTGAAAACGGCAATTCCGGACAGGTTAAGCATTTTAAACGGATTCTAAAAGTTTTTTAAGTTTTCAAGAATTTTAAAGAAAAGAATTTGATTTTAATTTGCATTATTGTTTTTCGGTATTTTTTTAATTGGTCGTGATTTTAGATCATCTACGCTGGCACTGGCGGTGATCTGCTGTGGTTGACGACATTCGACACGAGCGACAATAACGGATGCGGTACGTTTTTTTACTTGGTTGGGTGGGCTAGGGGGTTTTTTGCAAAAAAGTTGAATTATTTTGAATTCAAGGCGAGTTAGCAGAAATTTTTGAGGATAGAAGGTTCATAAAAATTTCGCTACTGTTTAAGGCGTACTAGCAAGATTTTTGGGGAAATTTTTCTGGGCAAGCTAGCGGAGAATATTTGGGAATTTAAGCTAACACAAGCAGATATTTTTGAGGAAATTTGATTTCCAGGCAAGCTAGCAGACATTATTTGGGAATGGGCAGTCTAGCAAAGATTCTTTAGGAATTTCTAAATTATGACAATTTTTCAGCGTTCGAAGGAACGCCCGGCGTGCTGTGGGGAATTGCCCATTTTGGCAGCGATTCGCTGAATGCTGATCAGAGGTACGTAAGGAGTACGGTAGCGGAATTTTTCGACTTTTTAGGTATGCCGCCTACGTCAAAGTGATGGCAGAAGCTTTCCCGAATTCTGGCGATCCGCTTGATCATTTGTGAGTTTTTTTGCCTCTTTCCTAAAGGATCTCTGCTAGCCGACCGCTAACTATCGTTTTTTCAGCGACTACCAATTCTACGACGATGAATACGCGCTCGGCTCCGTTGGCACGCTGCCAGTACTGCATAATACTGATGACGTCGCCGCCTTCTTCGAGGCGTTCAACACCGATGGGCCACAACTCAACCAGGGTACGATTTTCTCTATTTATCTCTCTCTCTCTCTCTCGCTTGCCAAACCATGCTCATTTTTCTAGCACAAAAAACATAAACGCCACCAAAAGCGCCCGACGGTAAGGTGTAGCTTACTGTACCTTTGCTATTTTTTGCTGCTTGCCGCAAATTTTTGCTTTTTGGCCAGCTTGCAGAGATTCTTGGGGAACCTCGATTTTTTAGAGCCTCCACTTCGCCTCGGCCGAGTACTCCTCCACGTCGATGGGGATGATGAACGGAGCGGTCGTGCAGGGACAACATGTTGCTGACGTTGTCCTGAAGCAGCTCGGCGCTGGAGATGAACAACAGGCTGGAGGGGTTGCTGCTGGAGTGGATGCGGCGGAGAGTACGGTGAGTATTTTGAAGCTTTATGGAAGAGTGAAATTAAAAGACAGGGACAGCGAGAGAGAGTGAGAGAGAGAGATAGAGAAAGAGAGAGAGAGAGAGAGAGAGAGAGAGAGAGAGAGAGAGAGAGAGAGAGATAGAGAACCATAGCGATTTTTTAGACTCAAGAAGCCTCGGCCAGCTCGTCGCTGCGCTATCCAGATGACCTGACGCCGTTCGCGTATGAGACGAGCACACAATATGCAGCTAGCAGCACCCAGGAGGTAACCTAGCAAAGATTCTTTAGGAAATGGGCAGGCTAGCAGAGATTCTTCAGGAAAATGCTCATATTTTCGTAAATTTCAGGCAACTTCCGGTTCCACCACCTCTCAGCCGCAATACGATTTCCCGTACTCCACCTCGCCACAGTATCCGGACATTCTGACGACCGGTGAGAATTTTTACTGATTTTTTTTAGTGTTTTTAGCGCAAATTAAATTTTTTCTAACTGGTTTTTTTTTCAGAATCCGCTTCATCCTCAAGCACCGCCGAGCCGGGCAGCACGACCACGTTCGACTACACAGCGGAATTCCTCGGAAAAATGGTAGATCTTTTTTCTGTATCTCTCTCTCTCTCTCTCTCTCTCTCTCTCTCTTTTTTTTCTTTCTCTCTTCTCTCTCACCTCAACATTTTGCATTTTGCAGCACGACGCCTTCAACAAGCCCAACGACACGACCGACGAGCCGACGGCTTCGAGCAGTACGGTCGTCTACCCGGATCTGTTAATGCAAAGTGAGTTAGATTTTTGATGGAGAGAGAGAGGGCGAATGAGAGAGAATGAGAGAGAGTGACTGAAGGAGAGAGAGAGGGAACGTCTATGGGTTTTTGCCTTCACAGTCCCTTTAAAAACGTTTTTAGACGAATCGACGACGCCGTTCGTCTACGAAACGAGCAGCCAATACGAGGCCACCACCCCGGATACGGTAGGACATTTTTAGTTGTTTAATTTCAGCTTTTCCAGACTGTCACTCCACCCGAGCAGAAGCAGTACGACTTCCCCTACAGTACCAGCACGCAGTATGCGCCGGAAGGTGAGAGAGGGAGACAGAGAGAGAGAGAGAGAGAGAGAGAGAGAGAGAGAAAGTGAGCGAGAGAGTGTCAGAGGGAGAGAGAGAGATAGACACGGAGAGAGAGGGAGAGAGAGACAAAGAGAGTGAGAGCGAGAGATCACTGATCTTATTTATTTTTTTGCCGTTTTTAAAGGTTTTTTTTCAGATCTTGGCTACGGTGAAGCTTCGACCACCGAATCCCCCGAAAATTCCACCCTTCCCGACGGATTTGTGGTAATTTTTTGAGTTTTTTAGTTTTCAAATTTTTTTACTAATTTTCGACTACCGTAATACTTTTCCTACTATAGAAATTAATTCCTATTTTTTTGCACTTTTCTACTACTTTCCTGTACGCCACTTTACCCCCCTTTCCAGCCCGATCTCGCACCCCCACCCTCGAATCTCACCTCAAACGGCACCGACACCGCCTACCCGGATGACCTTGTGGGATAGTTTAACAATTCTATACTTTTTTGACGAATTTACTTTACATTTACAACTTTTTAATTCTTTTTAACTTTAATTTAGTCTTTTAATACCGAATTTAACTTTAAATATCGTTTTAATAGACTTAATTTAGGTTTAATTAAAGTTAATATTGTTTTTGATGCGCTTTAATATGGTAAATTTCATCTATTTTCCGTTTTTCAGATCAGCGCCGTCGGCCTGAACGCGACGCAACCGTCCAACGAAACTGAGGTGTGGTTTGGAATTTTGATTGGTTCGGTGGTTGAAAATTTGGGTTTTTGATTTCCGGAAAATTTAATTTTCGACTTTATAGGTTAAATTGCAGCTTTTTATTTTTATACAAAGGTTTAGAAAATCGTAAAAATCGGTAAAAATGATTTACACAGTTTTTGCACTCGGAATACCGTAACCACCTCGAAACTGCACAAATTAATGGAAAATCTAAAGTATCAGCTCCTACCGTAACTCAAAAATACCTAGAAAAATTTTGATCTTCAACATCCTCTATTTTGCACTACAACTACCGTAAGCCGACCACCGTAACGGGCGCAAATAAATGAAAACTTCCATTACAGTAATCCGTATTTACCTACCGTAACCTCTCAAAAACGCACGAATTAATGAGATCTAGGATAACCAACAAAACTACAGTAATCGGTACTTACCTACCGTAACCCGAAAATTCCACTCGATTTGCACGTTTTACCCCATTTTTATAGTCGGTCGCACCCACCGAAAATCCGCTCGTCGACGATGTGATCAATTTGGTAATTAGCACCCTCGTTACCGTAACCCACCCTTTCCCCTCTACAGCTAAACGGCGAAGGAAACGCGACGCAGCCGCATGCGCCTGGCAACGAGACTACGGTGGAGGATGCGGTGTTGGACATAGTCGGTACCTTTAATTGTACTAAAACCTCCTGAATTCCTCAAAAATCTCTGCTCGTTGCCTGGGTTGTTCTACGGCTAGTCTATTTCCTAAAGAATCCCTGCTAGCCCACCATCACTGTTTTTTAAGCTGAACCCGGAGGGATTGGATAACAGCACGTTACCCTATAATGGCACGGCAACCCCGGATGAGGTTTTGGGTTTGGTTGGTTTTTTCCCTTTTTCTGTCTATCTCTCTCGCGCTCTCACTCTCTCCCTGTCCCTCTCCCTCTCGCTCTGGCTCTTTCTCTCTCTTTCTTTCTCTCTCTCTCTCTCTCTCTCTCTCTCTCTCCCCGTCTCTATCTATCTCTCCCTCTCTCGCTCTCTATCTATCTCTCTCCCTCTATCTACCTCTCCCTCTCTCTCTCTCTCTCTCTCATCTCTCTGTCCTCTTCCTTCTAACCTTACTTTTTCTAGCTTAACCCTGAGGGACTGGATAATAGCACATCACCAGCTAACGAAACGGCGCTACCGGATGAGGTTTTGAACTTGGTTCGTTTCTTTTTCTCTTTTCTATCGCTTATTTCCCAGCTTAACCCTGATAACAGTACTTTATCCTCTAATGAGACGTCGATCCCGGACGAGGTGTTGAACCTGGTTAGTTTTGCTCTTTTTCCGTCTCTTTCCCAAAGATTTTTCTCTGCTGCTCTGCGCTGTCTACAAATTTCTATCTATCGCTAATTTTTCCAGCTTAACCCGGAAACTGCGGGTAATAGCACGTCACCATCTAACGAAACGGCACTACCGGACGAAGTTTTGAACTTGGTTCGTGGTTTCTACCTCTTTCCTATCGCTTTTTCTAGCTTAACCCTGAAGGTTTGGATAACAGTACCTCCCCTTCTAACGAAACCTCACTTCCGGATGAAGTTTTGAACTTGGTCCGTCTTTCTTTATTTGCATCTATAGTTTCGTTTTTAGCTTAAGCCAGAAGGTATCGATAATAGCACGTCACCAGCTAACGAAACAGCACTCCCTGATCAAGTGTTGAATCTGGTAAGCACTTATCTATCGCCTATATCTGTCTCTCTCACACGTTCTATCGCTTCCTATCTATCATTTAGTTTTTAGCTTAACCCGGAAGGTACCGATAATAGTACTTCTTCTTCTAACGAAACTTCACTTCCGGACGAGGTTTTGAATTTGGTCCGTTTTTGCCTATTTCTCTCTATCGCTCTCTTTTCCAGCTTAACCCGGAAGGCGTCGATAATAGCACCTCTCCCTCTAACGAAACGGTATTACCGGATGAAGTATTAAATTTGGTTGGTTTTTCCTTTTCCTTTCTATCGATCCTTTCGTTTTCCAGCTTAACCCAGATGGATTGGATAATAGCTCGTCACCGGGTAACGAAACGGCATTACCGGATAACGTTTTGAATTTGGTAATCCTTTATAGCGATTTAATATACGTATTTATCTTTACCATCCCGCCCTATTTTTCCTAAAGAATCCCCTGCTAACCTACCCCCATTTTCAGCTAAACCCCGAGACACCCCTAAACGGCACGGAACCCTCAAATAATGGCACCGACGTGGAGGTAGCACTGAAACGGTTCTTTCGCATTATCGGGGGGACCAACTTTTCCCTCTGGATCCAATTCGTAAATATAAATAACCGAAGTGTTTCTACACCGTTTTTATTGTTTCTAAATATAAAAATTACAATTTTTCTTAAGCAATAAAAAATATCGATTTTTATCGGCCAGGTCAGTTTTGGCCCAAATTTCGACTTTTCGAAGAGTTTTTGGATAATTTTTCTCGCTTAAATATACTTATATTCAACTCAAAACACTAATAAAATAATTCCCATTAAGTTATACTAGGCCTTTCTAGATTTATACAAAGAATTCCTCCCCCCCCCCGCTAATGCAAAAGTACCCTTAAAATTAACTTTTTAACGTTACTATCTTCAAACAATGCATGAAATCACGTTTCCGAAACCCTTGGCACTTTTCCAGAGCACCACCACCCCGCACCCTGAAGAACCCGGGCTGTTTGACCTCGTCATGCAGCTGGTAACATTAAAAAAATAATGTTCTTGGCGTATTTAGGATACTTTAATTGTTTTTTTATTTTTTAGATGCCTAGAAAATGTACAAAAAGTTTTATTAACACTAAAAATCAACTAAAATCGCAAGATGCTATTTTGTGTTAGAAATCCTCCCAAAATTCGCGAAAGTAGTGCGTGTTGTACTGTGTACACTTAATTTAATGCCGTAATCGGTTCAATGAGTTCCTTTAAAGTGCCTTAAAGTTTAAACTAGGATATAAATCATTTTTTCAGCTCAACCCGACCGCCTCGCTGGACACAACGAACTCGACTACACCCGAAAACACGACCGACTTTGTGAGTTTTATTTTTCTAGAAATGAGGCAGCCTAGCAGTGATTATTTGGGAAAATTAGATTTTTAATTGTTTACGCTTTTTTTCTTCATTTCATTTTCGTAATTTAGAAAATTGCAAGCGTTTATTTGGGGAAAGTAACGCATTTTAGTTCTTGTGCCACTTAGGGCATGCCAGCGGAGATCGTTTGGGATTTTTAAGGAAATTTCTATGCATTTTTAAATCCTATTTCTTTACTTCTATAATTCAATTCTTAAATTTTTGTATATAAGGTTTTGTTATATTGACTTTTAGGACGTCTCCAACGTGACGAGCCCCAACAATGCGACCGAATTGGTAAGAAATTTACTTTCTTGCAAATTATCAATGTTTCAGGACGACTCTGCCTTCAACGCGACGACCCCACTGACGAACAGCACCGATTCGGGCGAGGTGAGCTTTGTTTTCAGGCTTCTGCCCCTTTCCTGTCATTTTTTACGTCCATATTTCCGCTTCGTGTTGGCTTGGCTTACCCATTTTTTGCGGCTTTAGGGGCCCGAATTCGCCCGGCTGACCGTTCTCCGCGATGTCCAATCTGTCCCGCAGCAGGATGATGTAGGCTTTTTGTGCTTTTTCTGTTTTTGTAGCTTGGAAAATGCATTAATTTTTCGAATGCTTCGCGCATTTTTGAACATAGCTTTGTCATTTTAGCATATGTTTTTATGCATTTTAGAGCTGAAATTATGCGTTTTATGTGGTTTTGTTCAGCGGTGCTTTCGCATTATCGGGGGGGATGGAGTCGGTTTTCCTAGAAGTCTAGAAATACCTTAGTCGTGTTTTAATAGCTTTTAGTAAAATGTAGTTATATTTTAAGTATAAAACAATCAAAGACATTAAAATTTCGTCAAAAAAATTGGCTAATTTTGCTCGAAATCGATCTTTTTCGTATTTTTTAACGTTGTAAAGTTTTACGTTTAGGTAGAGTAAAAAACGGTCTGGAAACAGCCAACCCCCCCCCCCGATATTGCAAAAGCGCCTAGCTTTTAAAATAAAATAATAATTAAAATTTAAGGCTTATTTTTGGCTTCATTGCTTGCCGTTTTTAGATGGAGAACAGCACCAGCCCCACCACAGAAGCTTTCGTCTATCAAACCTCATCGCAATATCCCCCAGGAGCTTTTGATGACAACGAGGTTCTTTTTGCTTTTATCGTTATTTTTAAACATTTTTTGCTTTTTTATTGCGCTTTGAAAAAAAACATTTTAAGCTGATTTTATCGCGCTCAAAAAAAAACAATTTTGGCTTTTTACCATTTTTAAGGCATTTTTGCAAGCTTATCAAAAACTGAAATTTTACCCTCAAATGATCTCGGCTAGCTTACCCCAGCTTACCATCGCTTTTTGTAGCCTGAAGCGAGCAGCCAGCCGCCAGCCAGCAGCACCACCTACGCCTTCCTCTACCAAACTTCCAGCCAGTACCCGCTAGAAGTTGCGGCTTTGCCCGAAGCCACGAGTGTACAGGTGTGTCGCGTAGCTCGCGTTTTTTGCGGCTATTTATTTGGCTTCAATGTGCCTTTAAACGCTTAAAAATTGGTTTATTGCTTGAAAAATCGTGAAATACGCTAGAGATAATGTGCGAGCTGCTCAAAATTACGCTACATTCCGCTCCTAATGACGCGGATGTTTCGATCCCTTTAAAGCTATGAAATGAAATTTTTGGATCTGAAAAAGCCACGATTCGACCAAAATATTACTTTTTCTTCCTTTTTTTATGCTATTTTGACTTTCACGACCGCGGCAGTCTAGCAGAGATCCTTGGGGGAAGCTAAACCCTTTTTCAGCCCGATCTGAACACGCTGCTCCTCGCCGACGAACCACTCGTCCAACTTCTCAACGCGACAACACCAGAAGCCCCGGCCGCAACGAGCAATGCGACGGAATCGGCCGAAGATCTCATCCAGGAGGCCGTGCAAACCGTCGAGCAGAACATCAAAAAGGTCAGGGTTTAGATTTGGGCTTTATCTCGATTTATATAGCATTTCAAAAACTCTAAAATCTTTTATTTATAGTGGAAAACTTAGCTTTGATTTTGCTGATTTTAAGGGGCTTAAAAACTTTAAAGGGCTGCCGACGGCATGTGTCGATCCCCCCCTCATCAACAAATTGGCAAGTAGCCAACAGGGGAGAGAGCGCGCCCAGGGGAGAGGCGCAGAGACATTTTCTTTTCCGCGCGTAACCGATTGACTATGCCGTCGGCATCCCTTTAAACCGCGTATTTTTTAACTGGAAAAGCTTTAGATTAGTTATTCTGGCTTTTTAACCTCTAAAATATTAGATGTGGTACCTCTTTTTACAAGTTCTAGCACTCTCTTTTTAAAAGATTTGGACAGTTTAAAAACTAAAAGTTGTTATTTTTCCAAAAAAACCTTGGGGCGTTAATACTATAACGATTTTAAAACGCTAAAATCCTATAATTTTTTGACCGGCAAGCTTCTGTGGAGTTTTAAAAGCCTAAGTTTTACCTGAAAAGCTTGATCTTAAGTTTTAAAACACTAAAATCTCATAAATTGTCGGAAACGCTTTGCCTTTAATTTTGTAAAGTTTTTAAACGTTTTACAACATTTTAAAAGTTGAAGCCTAAAACCGTAATTTATTTGGACAGAAAAAGCTTTAGCTAATTACTGAGGTTTTAAAACGGCAAAAAACGTACATTTTTTTATCGGAATAGATTTATTTTGAAATTATCAAGAGCTCTGAAACCTGTAAAACCGTATTTGTTAACCAAATTGAGCTTTAGGTCCCTCCCACCGAGCGGAAACCGATCGCCGCCCGACTGTCGAACGCGCTGGCCGCCCTGCTGAACCTGGTGCGACGACGGTGATAGGCGCGTAGCGTAGCGCTTGGCCTCTCAGGATTGTTTATCTCATCGAGTATCGAAGGTTCTAAAGGTATCCTAAACGTTGCTAGAATTCTAAGAATTGGTTTTTATAGATCTAAAAATTCCTTAAAAGTTTAAAACAGAATTTCTAGCTATAGCCAGCTAACTATCTAAAAGTTTAAATCCTTAAAAAAGCTTCACAACTTAAAACAAAAACTTGCCAACATTTTTCCGCCTTCACTTTTTGTGCTCGTGCTCTCGTGCTCCTCCTCCTCAGTGGCCTTCCACCCCCTGTTTGTACATGCATTTAGACGGTTATCCCCCTCACTTTCCATGGTTTTTGCTTTTTTTTGAAACCCGCGCGCTTTGCCCTCAAATTTCTCACCTGCTTCCGGTTCGCAATATATGGGTCCCGCCCCGCGCGCGCTACCCAAATTGTGCTCGAATAAAATGTAAAATTGCAAAAAAAACTATAAAATTACATAGAAATCTTATACAAACGCGAAGAACACCCGAGAAACAGCGACAAATGAAAAAATGACACGAACAACCCAGTTAAAGCTGTGGAAATAAGGGTTCTTTTGCATTATCGGGGGGGGGGGTATTTTTCTAGTGATGTAATCAGTGTTTTAATGGTGTTTTAGCAAAATCTAACTTCTTTTAAGTGGAAAACGATTTAAAAAAAAAACTTAGAAAATTTTTTAAGTGAAATTTCGGTCGCAAAAAGGCAATTTTTGGCCCAAAAATCGATATTCTTCTATTTTTTCATCAAAATTTGTATAGTTTTACGTTTAGGAATTGTAAAAAACCATTTAAAAACCCTTACTTTATTTCTATTAAAAAACTGGATCTTTAGAAAAAGCCCCCCCCCCCCGATAATGCCAAAGAACCGCAAATCCCTGAAATAAATATAACCCTTGATAGATTATGCCGCTAGATATGACAACATGAATGGGATTATCACAGAAAACTGAGGAAACCGCAATAAATAGAAGTATTAATGCAAAAAGAATATAAATCAGCAATTTGGGCTATAAATTGTGCACATAAAATCAATTAATTTGGCTCTTATCTTCTTGCTGGGGCTGCTCCACGTCGCCGAACACCATCAGCACGACGCCGGCCAGGATGAGCAGACAGCTGACGATGCCGCGCGCGGAGAGCGTCTCGCCGAGCAGCGCTCCTAAAAGGAATAAAAATACAGAGGATAACAACTATAATATAACTACAATATAAAATTCTATTTATAAATAATAAGGTTATTAAACAACTTTATAAACTAATTTTATCGATCTCATGACTAATAAATCGTTTAATCTACGATTTACTAAATAAATGTAAGTAAATCGTTAAACTTTCATGTTTTTAAGCTAATTTAACAACAAATAAACTAGTTTTTATATAAATAAAACATTAAAATAAGCTTTCTATAATAATTTATCAATAAGTAAGTTATTTACGCGAAAAAATATAAATAAACTATGAAAAACATACTTTTTCTAGCAATTTACTAATTAAAACCGGTTTAACAACCGTTTAAACCATTTAATTTGATAAATAGATGTAAATCATGAAAATCTAGAGCTTATGGACGCATTTACGAAGTAGTTTAACAAGTTATTTTCACGAATCTTGCTCTAAATTTGTAAAGCCGGCAGATTAAAGTTAATTTAGACATTACAAGCTTATTTCATATTACAATTTTTTAATAAATAAACCATTTAATAAACTAAATACTAATTAAATTTAGTAAATCTTTTACTAAACGAATAATTCGCACCTGCTATGGCCGCAAAGACGAACTGCAACGAGTTGGTGGCCGGGACGACGACGGAGACGGGCAAGTGCACCACCAGGTACGTGAACAGCAGCTAAAAAGTAGATAATAACGATAATAAAAATAGATTTCAACAATTTTCTAGTATGATTTTCAAAACCACAACTCACCCCGCCCGCCTGGTTCAACAAAAACGGCACGATGAAGCGCCAGTTCGAGAGGAAGTGCACCACCTTTCCGCAAACGCCTAAGAATCGAATTCCAGAGCTCTAGATGTATTCCTCACCTTTTCCCGGCTTCTTCTCCTGCTGATACTTCGTGCCGAGCCTCATCAACGGGTTCGTCGCGCCCCAGACCGCCGAGACGAACACGATCTGGCCGAGGCAACGCGCGTCACATTGCATCGCCTAGAATTTGACGTATTTTAGAGCATTGAAAAAGGTATAAAAAATTGAATTTTACAAAAAAAAAGAATATTTTTGTGAAATTTTTATTTGATCAAGCTTGCTCATCGATTCCGTATCACTACTCTGTACACTCTCACTACGTGCGCTCCTTTCAATTGCTATGCCACTATAATTCCCTTATCAACAATTTGTTTTCTATAACTTTCTAAACTCTGTCCTCACTTTAAAAGTATGTATTATACGATCTACTACGTTTTCAGGTATGGACGAGGACGCGGAGCTGATCCCCGAGAATCTACGACGGCCGGCTGACGAGCCCGCCTCCACCTCGAAAAAGACGCCCACCTCGATCAAGGACTACAATGTGATAAAAGAGGTAAAATAGTTATATATGAATGGTTTATTCAACCGGGTAATATAACGTAGGCAAAAAATGATAAACACGTAAAGTGAAAAAAAAAACATGGGTGAAAGACGAGGGACGGGGATAATAGGTTTTTTGCTTAGGAGGGATTTTGGGCTAGGGGAAGGGTTTCAAGACTTTTCCTAAAGCGTTTCGCGCTGGTCGGAGGGTTCAAGAGGAGAGGTGGCGGAAGTGAATTCCATAGTTTTATGATGCGTCGTGAAAAGATAGACCTAGGGGTATCTCCTACGCTGTTAAATCTAGTGAGCTGGAACCTGTGGGAACTCCTAGAAGGTCGCGTCGCAAGTTTAAGAAATTTGACTGGATAGCTCTGCTGGAAAATTATTCGATAGCACAGGACGAGGTCATTTTGGTTTCGGCGTGTTTCGAGGGTGGGGATTTCAAAAAATGCTAGCCTCTCTCCATACGGAATTACGGGAAACCCTGGGCAAAGTTTAGAGTAGGCATGAAAGGTAAATCTTTTCTGGACATTTTCGATCTTCTGAATCAGATATTTGCGGGATGGAGACCAAACTTCACTCGCATATTCCAGAATCGGTCTACATAGTGCAAAAAGCGCGGATATAAGTAGTTTTATTGGGTACCTGAATCTTTTGATGATTAAGTACGAAATTCGCGCCGCTCTTGCGCAGATTTCAGTGATATGCGGCTTGAAAGAGAGCTTATTTGTGTATCTAACACCGAGATCCTTGATGATATCGACCGCTTCGATTGGGCTATTTGCGAGAAGTAAGGGAGGTGCGGGACTTAGGGAAGTTAAGCAAAAGGTCTTATTAACGGCAGGACATCCCATTTTCCGAGGCCCATTTTTCTATGATAGAGATGTCGGACTAGATAGAGGTGTGGGGACTGGGACCTGCGCGCGGCCCAATACCTGCATAGATTTTGAGATCGTCAGCGAATAAGAGATTTTTGTTTACTAGAAGGGGTGGGAGATCATTTATGAAGATCAAAAAAGTATGGGCCCTAAGACACTACCCTGCGGGACCCCCGAGGTTTGAGGACGTGGCTTAGAAACTGAGTCTCCGTTCTGTACATGAAAAGTCCGACCGGTGAGATAGGCTTTCAACCACGAGTATATGGGAACAGGCAGGCCCGTTTGGGCGACTTATCTAGGAGAATGTGATGGGGGACTTTATCAAAAGCTTTTGCTAGATCGAAATATATGCTTATTGGTTTTTCACCGGAATCTAACATGTTGGCAAAGTCATGGAACATTTTGATGAGCTGCGCGGTGGTAGAATGAGAGGCTCTGAATCCAAACTGGGCCGGGGAAAAGAACTGTTTAGCATCTAGAAAAGAAATTATTTTGTGTTTCAGCGCAACTTCAATAACTTTGCAAATCGATGATGTGAGGGCTATTGGGCGATAGTTTTGGGCCTTAGTTTCGTCGCCGGTCTTAAAAGGGGTACTATTCGAGAAAGTTTCCAGTGAGCGGGGATATCACCTTTTAGTAAGGTGATATTAAAAAGCCTAGTCAGAACGGGAGCGAGTATCACCGAACATTTCTTGAGGAAAAG